GATTTAGATGTTAATGGTTTATACCTTATTCATTAGAATTAGAACTTATTGTATTGAAATTATATTAATAAAATAACTACATGTCACTATTCATTATAATCTAAATATTCTATATAAAAATTACCATGAGAAACGTGTTTTGAACAATTCAATTAATTTTCTTATACTGAAAGAATATAATAATCGAAGATCTCATGAAAAATTGATAAATAAAATTCTTTCTCAGTAATTCTGCCACTCAGGATTTTCCCGCCCACGGGGTGCGGGGGGGGAGCGCACCCCCCCACTTTTAGAAAATTTTCAGTTTTTCCCAGCAAAAATCGTATATTTTATTGAAAAAAAAGATCGCCAAAAGGAAAAAGAATGCTTTGCACCCCCCCACTTAAAAAAAATTGTCTATGAACCTTTTTAGTTAGGAAAAAATTTCTGTGAACCCCCCACTTTTTTTTCTGCGGTACATCCCTGCTGCCGTGTTGCTGGTATGACTCAATCCATAATGAGTCAGAAAAAAAAGAATTATTACAAAATTGAAATTTTTTTCTTGATATTGTTCGAGGTACATTGAATATAACACTTGGAAAAAAAGTCACTGACAACTCAAAATAAAAACCTCATTGTTTTCATAAAGAAATTTTTGGTATAATATTAAATTCGAAAAAAGCATGACTACCTCGATGTATTTCGATTATGAGTATGTGAATGAAAATTAAATTGATAAAGAACTTAAATGTACAAGTTGCAAGTAATCTCTTCAATTGTCTGTTAGCCTTTGAATATGCAATCATACATTTTAGAAAGAATGTATAGTGAAATGGCTTAATCAACATCAAACATCTTCGACTTGTCGACAAGTTATACTAATAACAATAATCAACATCAGTTTGAATGGCATGTACTGATTTAAGCATGTCCATTTGTGCCGATTAATACCCGAATTGTACTTTATCAATTTGATCATCTTCTTATTCGATGTTTATTTTGTAGAGAAACTAATATTCAACGATGCAATTTTAAAGATTATGAACAACATCGTATGAAATGAATAGTTTCATGTCCATCAGTCAATATTAAATGTACATGGACAGGATCAAGAGATAAACCTGCCACACATTTAATTGTACATTTCAACAAATTCGACCTATTATCAATGAACTTGAATATGAATTAATATTGATAAAAACAGCGCAAATTGAAGTCAAAAGTGCTCTCAATATACTAGAAAAAAAGTTGCTTTTCTTCTTGCATTTATTAACAAAGGTAGACTAATGAGTGAAAATTGTACTAAATCAGCAGATCAATGTCAATATAATGATATTAATGATTTTCATTTGATCAATCGATTTACTTGCAGTTTACACGGCGAATATGTTCAACGTCATCAAATTTTACTTCATGCATATTCAAATGATGATTGCACCTGTCAACATTTTCTTAATAGTCGATATACAAATGATTATGATGAGTATGATCAACAGTTTTATTATGAACATGAACAAAATTCTGAAACAAATGAAACTGAAAGTTGGGATTGAGGGTGTGGGTGTGAGTGGGTATAGGTGTAGCTGTGTGAATGTGAGCGTGGAAGAAATAGACCCACACGCTCTGGCAGCATCTGTTTTTAACCGATTCAGTTACCAACTCAACTGGTTACCAACTCACTTGGTAATTAATGAGTTTGTTAATAAACCTATTAAATCGGAAAAAACTCTTAAATATAGAATGATTCATATTCGACTTGGTAATTTTCGGTCAAAAAAATTAGTTGGAGATATTGAAATCAGCGAAAATGGAATTCGGTGAAAGTGGACATCTGTGAAAATGGAATAATTCTACTAAACTTCCTCCTTCCCATTTAAAAGACTCCCGGGTTTTCTAATATGATCGAGCGTGTAAACTGTCTATGTGGTGTTCTAATGCAAAATTCGCATAAAATTTGTGAGTGCATTTTCAAAAGTTATTTTTTATATTTTACATTATTGTTTTCACAAAAAATTAGTTTCTGAACACTTACCTACAGATTGTGCATCCATAAATCATGATCTTCTTATGCGACTTGTCTCATGCGGGTAACTTGCTCTATGAAACATGGCATTTAAGAGGTGTCGAAGTATATATGAAAAAAATTTGAACCCACTACAGCCAATGTTCCTAATAAGAACAGCTATCTCGGAGGTGCGAAGAATTTCATTATTCACTAAATAGTTTTATATGAAAATTGAAATTTTTTTATATTTTCTAGTATAGAAATGTTTGTTCCGTTAGATGATGCAAAAAAAACTCAAATATCTCGAGAAATAAAAAAGCAAACAGCGGTAGTTTGCGAATAAATGAATTTGTTCTTATTAGGAGCTCTGTTCCTTATAAGAACAATAAGCAAGGGGGAAAAATCTCATTCGGGTATTCCGAATGGCTAGGATTGGATCGGAATGGCAGGGAATGGGTCGGAATGGCAGGGAATAGGTCGGAATGGCTGGGAATGGATCGGAATGGATCGGAATGGCTGGAAATGGATCGGAATGGCTGGGAATGAATCGGAATGTATCGGAATGGCTGGGAATGGATCGGAATGGCTAGGAATGGATCGGAATGGCTAGGAATGGCTGGGAATTGTTCGGAATGGATCGGGATGCCTATGAAATAGATAGAGATGTGTAATTTTCTCATAACTTTAAACTCGAATTTTAACATCTTAATATCGCTACAATCGTCAATTTTTAGAGTTCAGGTGGTGAATTTATGAACATTCACAAATGTTGGAAATATCCACATTTTCGTATATAGGATTTTTCCCAACGTGATATGTAGGAATTTTCCCAATCTATTCTTATGTATATATATTCATGTTCGTTCTATACTACGTGGTCAGATAGTACAGTCGTTATCTAGTTTTCTTCCTGTGTTCTTCTGTGTTTCTCAATGTGATCATCCTAATCAAGATATTACCAATAGGGATGCAACAGTGACGATAACCGTACCTACGGTTACCGATCCCAGCCGGTTTTCACGAAGGAAACGACTTTTTAAGAAAATAATGATTTTTTTATAAAGGTTGACGAAAGTAAATCGGGGTCGGAGAATCCGAATCTGAAATCGGTTTTTTGAAATTTTGAATTTTATCTTTTTTGACTAGGGAAAGGGTTTTTTAAGAAAATAACGATTTCTATAAAGGTTGACGAAAGTAAATCGGGGTCGGAGAATCCGAATCTGAAATCAGTTTTTCGAAATTTTGAATTTTATTTTTGTGTACTCAAAAAGTGAGTACACTCTAGAATCGGTCAGTACGTCCGTCCGGTCGTATACACGATAACTTTCGAAAGGAGTCAGATCATGATGAAATTTTCTACACAGTTTAGTCTCATCAATGTCTCGGTCGAGTTCCAAGATGAGCCTGATTGGAGGAGCCTTTCCTGAGTTATTGCAAAAATACTGATTTTTTCCTATGGTCTCTTAGGCGAAAATCGACCGATACCCGCTTTCATAAAAAACTTTTCCTATCATAGTCAAAATAAAACCCCAACTATTATATACCATTCGATAGAGAATTTCACGAGCTGCAAAATGGTATATAAA